ATAATTGTACACTTTATACAAGTGCACTGGTTGTACTCACAAAAAAACAAGAAAATATGATGCATCAGGTTCTGCACAGTATAAAAGTAATCCCATTCTGCTTAATACAAGCATATCACTTAGAATATTAACAATAAAAATTATTAGAAAAGAAATGTAAAGGCTTATAATTTTAAATTAGATATTATAAATAAAATTTATTGCAGCAGCCGAGGGTTCCAAGCGGTCATTGTCTAGCAAAAAAATTGAAGATGTGGGCTGGTAAATTTCTAGATGTGAATAATCACCATAGTGTATCATTAACATATAGACTAAATCCTCATTTCAAAGGGCCACATTAAGCAAACCAATAATGAACAGAACATTTAGAAAAGACAGAACAGAAGGTTTGATTACTAGCAAATATAATAATGGTGATAATTAAAATTTAAAAATGAAACCCTGAGATGCATATAGGAGGCACAGCCTGCCTGCTCAATGATTCAGTGGCACTACTAATAAGCGTCTAATGGTCACCAATTAGATTTCAACATGCTATGGCAGTTTGAATGTGATTGGTAATGCAGGAATCAAAAATTAAATGACACAGATTCAATAATCACACTCTTACAAGTTTTTTTTCTGTTTAAAAAAAAGTACAAGGTTTTTTACGTTAAGGCATTCTGTACATTAAGGCAAGTAACATTCTGTATGCAACCTCCCCAGCCCCCCTAAATACTTACCTGAGATGTTTTTCAATCCAATCATCTGTATAAGAGCAGCAGCTCTCTAGGCTCTCTTTCTCTCTCCTCTATGGGCAGAGGCAGCAGCAGGAACTATTGGCTCCTGCTGCTGTGTCAATCACAGCCAGTGAGGAGGGGGGCGGGATTGAGCCGCGCTCTATGTGTCAATGTTATGGTGGGCACATGGAGGGGGCGAGGAGCCAAGAGCACCAGCGGAGGACCCAAGAAGAGGAGGATTGTGGCTGTTCTGTGTAGAACTATTGCACAGAGCAGGTACTCATACCATTATTTTATTTTTTTAAATTTTTTTTGCATTTAGAATCACTTTAAGTTAGGCATAGACAATTTTATTTTTCCTGTAGTCAGTGGATTCCTCCACCTACACAAGTGAATTAGATGGAGGAAACCCCCTCCATTGGGGAAATTGTATTCTGACAGAGGCTCCCAGCTTTTTTACATCAGTGGGAATTAAAGAGACCCTGTGACCAACCAGAAAAATGCAGGTAAAAACACTGAAATGCTTACATGCATTGTATTTCCTTTCCAACATTTGTTTTAGTAACTTCAGTGTGTCTGAACCTCCTAGAAAAATTGGTTAGTCAATTCCCTAGCCCCTTTTAGAGAATACAGAACAAAGTTTAATTTTGCGGTCCCTCCCAGCAACAATAGACACCCACTGCAGCAAAATACCCCCAATAACAAAAGATCCACCCCAACATTAACAGACAGCCACCAGCAACAATAGACCCTTCAACATCCAACAATAATAGACCCCTCTCTCAACAGTAGATCGCTCCCGACAACACCTGACCCCCAACAACAATAGATCCTCCAACATACCTCAGCACCCCTTGCCATTACATACATTCAGTGCTGAAGGTGCCAGAACTGCGTTCCCCCATGTTTCTTCTGAAATTTTTTATTTTTTTATAATGAATGTTCTAATGACAAGGTCTCTTCAAAGTGCACCTGAAAACTCTTGTGAGGCAGTCTAAACAAGTCTCATATCCCATTACTATGTGGCACAAGAGCCCCATAAATCCTGCATAAATCCTTCTTTATTTGTGCCGCACATGCTCCCCTTCCCAGACAATGTAGCTCAGGAATGTAAATTAGCGTGGACAATGTTTACAGCCGCACCCCCTGCAACATCTTCTCATTCCACTTTAGTTCAACAAGACACACTACATAGTTGATGGTAGATCTGAAGGAGAGTGTTCAATGTCTTTCTTTGTACAAGCAGACAGTGAGAGACAGATTATATCTCCCAGGCAAAGCATGGAAGAAGAGCTGTTAGTAACAGTAAATCCAGGGCAGGATTTGGTGGGCACAGCAGAAGCTTTTCTGGTTCATAAAGGTAATAGCAGGCACTTTGTAGTACCTGTTTAAAGTTTCAAATGACTAACAAAAATTGCAATGAATGCATACAGACACTGGTATATCTGCAGTCGGAGTCTGTGATCAGGATGCTGTTATCACAAAGAATGATTTCTAAAACTCTACAGGGATGGGATATGCAGCCAGTTACCCCATAAAATATCTGTTTCTAATTATGAAAAGCTTGTGCTTGGTTCTAAAGTGATTATCATTTAATTTTTCAGTAAACAATTTCACTGTGGTTAGGCAATGCACCAACTTGAATACTTGTTATACTTCAGTTTATTATGAAATTCACCAAACTATTGCAAGGGAATCACATGCAGTCTATGGACTATAAAAAATAACTTTATAGGAACTTTAAGGGTTCATTCACACCAGAATGTGGTGTGGGAAACCCATGTTCTGCACACATTTCCCATACTGTGTTCAAAACGCACTGGGTGTGAGATCTGCTGCGGCTGTCAAGAGATTCCTAACAAAACCCCAAACGCAGATCGCAAACTGAACTGAGTTGCACAGGAATTCAGGTGTAAACAGGCTCTTAATGGACATCTTCAGGCAAAATAGTCATTACTGATGGCATCATCTGTCTATACAGTCTTTTCTGTTTCGTGTTGACAGTTCTTGGTTTCACCTGTGCCTCCCATGCAATAAAGTTGCAGTGACCTGAATAGTGGGAGCACTTTTACAGACAAGTCAATTTTTTGGTCATATTCTCATACAAACCAATTCTTTATGAGATATTCACCACTGTTCTCTGCCTTTTTACAGCATTCAACATAAAGACTTCAAATGTAATTCTTTAAAGACCAGCATTAAACTGCTAATTTTTTTTTTGTTTAATTAAATGGGTTCCCAGGAGCAGTCTGCCATAATGTGCTAGTATGGACAGCATATTAGGACATCAGTGCAGACTTAACTGTGATCCAGTGCATGTCAGTGCTCCAGCTGGTTGTGGGTGCTTCCATCTTTTTCCAGTTTTCCTTTTGGGTTTGGTCTGTTTGGCTGCTTGAATGAAAGGGTCACAATGATGTTACTCCTACACATGTGGGAGCATGTCTGCAACAAACAGGATGCCGTAAATATATGCTGAGCTGTGCATTTGCAGCTACTTAGGCTGACAGGCTTGGAGAAGCATTTATGGCAGAATAAACCAATAAGCTCTCTTCTGTTATAAAATCTCAACCTATTAATTTTTTTATTGCTTTTAATTCAATTATGCTTAAAAATGTCAGATGGTATGGAAGAGATAATGGGAATTTTAAAGTTGAACGCCAGGCAACCAGCTAAATACACAGATGAAATACATATAAGAGAGCTCCACCAAAAGATATGTATGTCTGTCCATTCGAACCAGAAATGTATACAGCTAAGGCACACACCAATCGCCATACCACTGCTAAGAGGTCCAGATACAACTTTCCTGTAAATGTCAGGTGGACAATCCAAAGAGTATCAGACACATTTTTTGGGGGGTCCCAAGTCACCATCTTCATCAGGGCTTGATTGAACACAATGTGAATGAACTAATAGTGGCTGGACCTTTAATACTACTTCTTCCATTACAGTGTGATTACAAGCACAGGCCTTGGCAGCAGCTGGTTTGGCAGAAGCTGGTTTGTTATTTCTAACAGGGCTCTGGATGGCAGTAAAAATGTGATAGCAGTTCTAATCCTTTCCCACATCATCCAAAAAAAAAGCTTGATGTATACTTTAACATAAAGCAAGCCTAAATCAGGGCCAGATAGCAGGTTTGTTGTCAGCATAATCAGAGCAGTATTCAGGATCTGTGAATAGGTCAAGGAATTAACTTTATGGTTACTTAGCTCACCAGCAGTTCTCAGCATTCATTGAGCTTTTATTGGAGTATAACATCCTAAGACTTTAGTGTAAAATCTAAGCATTGTCACCTTCCCAGCCATCAAGGGCTGAACTTTGTGGTCAAGTAGTCAGTGGGAAAAAATGCATGTGAGTAAATATATATATATATATATATATATATATATATATATATATATATAGTTGTGCTCAAAAGTTTGCATACCCCTGTAGAATTGGTAATATACAGTATGGACCATTTTTGAAGAAAACATGAGTGAGCAGGCAAAACACATTTGTTGCTAATGGAATTCATATTCAACTGATAACAGAATGGCACAGTCATAAAAAAAAAATATGGCAACAAGTAAACAAATGAAATGACCCCTGTTCAAAAGGCTGCATACCCCTAGTTATACTGTGTATTGCCCCCTTTAGCATCAATGACAGTGTGCAGTCTTTTGTAATAGTTGTCTATGACACCCCAAATTCTTGCAGGTGGTATAGCTGCCCATTCGTCTTAATGGTTCCAGGTCATGCAAAAGTCTTTGGTCGTCTTGCATTAGGCATACTCTTGAGACTTCTCCAGAGTGGTTCGATGATATTAAGGTCAGGAGATTGTGATGGCCACTCCAGAACCTTCCCCTTTTTTCAGCTGTAACCACTGGAGGGTCAACTTGGCCTTGTGCTTAGGGTCATTGTCATGTTGGAAAAGTCCAAGAGCGTCCCATGCTCAGCTTTGTCCACTAGTATTTTCTGATAACATACTACATTCATCTTGCCATCAATTTTCTCAAGATTCCTGGTGCTCACACTCCCCCAAAACATCAGTGAGCTACCACCATGCTTCACAGTGGGGATTGTATTCTTGTCGCTATTGGCCTCTAGTGGCCTGTTGGCCCCTCTCGAAACATAGCGCTTATGGTTGTGACCATAAAGCTCTATTTCATTCTCATCACTCCAGAATACAGTGTGCCAGAAGCTGTGAGGCGTGTCAAAGTGTTGTCAGGCATATTGTAGCTTTTTTGTGGCATTAGCGCAGTACAGACTTCTTTCTGATAATTCGACCATTTAGCTATATTTTGTTCAAGTAAAGTCATATTGTGCTCCTTGAAACAACCACACTGTCTTTTTCCAGAGCAGCCTGTATTTCTCTTCAGGTTACCTGTGGGTTTTCTTTGTATCCCGAACAATTTTTCTGGCAGTTGTGGCTGCAATCTTTCTTGGTCTACCTGACCATGGCTAAGTATCAAGAGATCCCTGAATTTCTACTTCTTAATAAGCGATTGAACAGTATTGATTGGCATATTCATGGCTTTAGATATTTTTTTTATATCCTTTTCCATGTTTTGGCTTGGTTCACATCCATGCAGATTTCGGTTGATGCATTTTCTGGGTACAATTTGTGTCAATTTTCACACCTGTTTTTGATGCTTTTTTTTTTGCATTTTTCATGCATTTTTTGCTTTGTGTGATTTTAGTTGGTTGTCAAGGAGTGGCCTGACAGATGAATATAAACACACCTATTGCCGGCAATTAAAACTTTTTTAAAAAATCGAGGAATCAGGCCCTTTGGGTCTGATATGGATTTTAAGGGGAACCCCATGCCAATTTATTTTTGCAAACTGGCATGGGTTCCCCCCAAAATTCTTACCATTGTGCATGCTCTCAACATGAAGGGGGGTGTCTGGGCTGTGGTTGTGGGGGTCTGCATATATATAGTGAATGACTAGCAATTTTCAGTCCCCAAGGGAAATGACTCTTCAAAACAATCTTTCCACCACGTTGCTCATCCACCACCAGGCGTGCCTGCTCACCTCCTTTTTTTTAACTATATGTTATACAGGTAAAAAACAGCACTGTGTAAGATATCCACGGTCACTCCAACTGTTCCTGCAGCATCCGGTAGAAAGAACGGCTTCCAGAGGGTCAACTCAACCGTTTTGTGTCAAAGTTGCTCATAGGATAGCAAGCAGAGCATCCCCCATAGTGCAAACTTGTTTTAATGAAGTAAAATAAAAAATTAAAATCACACAAGGATTGCGGGCTCACAAAGCCCAGATACAGCATGTAAACACAGAGAGGTAAAATGGCGGCTTCCAGCGGCACACCGGACATAACTTCACCAATAACTTTTGGATGGAAGTGTAGTGAAGTTATGTCCAGAGTGGTCCTGGAAGCCACAATTTTAGGGGTAGGGTAGGGGTACTATGTACCCCATGCTTATTCACATGGGGGGTGATGGGATCTTGGGGCCCCCTTGTTAAAGGGGGCTTCCAGATTCCGATAAGTCACCCCCTGCAGACCCCCAAAAACACAGCTCAGTGTTGTGGAGAAGAGTTCCTTGTCCTCATCAACATGCGAACAAAGTGCTTTGGGGGGGAGATCCCCTACCGCAAAGCACCCCCTCATGTTGAGGGCATGAGACCTGATATGGTTCAGGAGGAGGGGAGGGGGGGCACTCACCTGGCCTGCATGCTCAGATAAGGGTCTGGTATGGATTTTGGGGGGGACCCCACGCCAAGTTTTTTAAATTTTGGCATGGGGTTCCCCTTAAAATCCATACCAGACCTAATTTTTTTACTTTTTTAATCACTTGCCCTCCTGAGGATTTACCCCCCTTCCTGACCGGCTATTTTTTTCGTTACAGCGTTGCGTTACTTTAACTGACAATCGCGCGGTCATGCAACACTGCACCCAAATGAAATTTATGTCCTTTTTTTCCCATGAATTGAGCTTTCTTTCAGTGGTATTTGATTGCCTGTGTGTTTTTTTATTTAAAAAAAAAAAACAATTTTGAGAAAAAAAACAATATTTTTAATGTTTTGCTATTAAACATGTCCAGTAAAAAAATTTTAAAAATCAAATTTCTTCAAAAATTTAGACCAAAATGTATTCTGCTACATGTCTTTGCTACAAAAAAATCCCAATATGTGTAAATTAATAAATGTGCACAGCCATCCAGAGCAGTGTGCCCGAGCTGACAGAGAGGAGGTAAACAAAACAGTCCTCCTCCCCGTTGGAGATGCTTGGTAATCAACGGGCGCCGGAGGGTAATCACCGGCCGGGACCCGATGATTGAACGCCGCGAATGGCGGCGTGGGTATGGTGCTCGCGCGCGCCCCTACCTGAAAATGCAAAATCATGTATATATACATGATTTTGCGCACCCGTGCCACCCTGTAGTAGTATATCTGCTATAGGGCGGCAGGAAAGCAGTTAATTGCCGGCAATAGGTTTGTTTATTTTCAACTGTCATTGGGCAACCCACTGCCAGTGGATGACTCATCGGCTATTAAGACCACCTGCTTCTCAACAACAATGTTGTTTACTGGTTGTTAAGGCCACCACCCACTCCTTCACAACTAGCTTAAAGTTGCACAAAAACACAACACACAAAATGCATAAAAAAAACACAATACTTGCGTTTTTGGTGAAATTCCATTGAAGTCTATTACACACTAAAAAGTCCTTTTCAAAAATTCGCACCGGCTGAAAGCACACAGACATGAACAAGATCCATAGGTAATTAAGTGTGAACCTAGGGTTATAAAGTTACCATGTTACTCAGGTCTTTTGACAGTTTTTTTCTGCTCCCCATGGCTCAGTATTTAGCCTGCTCAGTGCATCCACATGAGAGCTAACAAACTCATTGACTATTTATACACAGACACTAATTGCAACTTAAAAAGCCACAGATGTGGGAAATTAATTGCAATTTTTACCTATGTGTGTCACCTTGTGTGACTGTAGCAAGGCCAAACATTCCAGGGTATGTAAACTTTTCAAAAGGGCCATTTTGGTGATTTCTGTTATCAATATGATTTAAAGGATAAGTTTAAAATAAATAAATGCACATCTTTTTGCAGGTAAAAAAACAGCATTTATTCATTTTTTACTTAGAACCTAGGAAGATTGCAGGGCATGCAGGACTCCTGCAGTCAGTGTATCTGTGTGCTTATACCTCGTGCAAGAAAGCAGATACACACTGACAGGAAGAGACTATGAACTATCACAGCACTCAACAGTGCCATGGTAGTTCATTGAGAACTACAAGCCAACAGCCACAAAGGCTGTAGGAACTTGTAGTTTTCCATTCACAGAATTCTATGAATGACTGACACAGCCAGGCGGGCGAAGGAAGATCCCCACTAGCTGTCACTAGATGCAGTGAAGCGGGCAGTGGGAACATATTACACGTTCCACCCAAAAAACTGGTGAATTTATCCTTTAAAGAGGAGCCAAACAACTGTGTGATAATAAATGGCTTCATATGATCACTGACCCTAAATAAAAGACAGTTTTATGGCATGATCAACCATATTTTCAATAGCAAACTTTCACGATTTCTGTCTGGGTATGCAAATGTTTTAGCACAACTGTGTATGTATATCTGTATATATATATATATATATATATATATATATATATATACACACACACTGAGTGTCCCACATGCTGCAGCTTCTCATACACAGCCAGTGCTGCAGCTGTTCACCTTGGCTGCCAGTGAGAACAGGAGAGAGAGGGCACAGTACACTGGTAGGCTGTGCTGCAATCACTGTGACCCCAAGGAGAGCCCACGTACCTTTCCAGGCAATCCGAGGACACTGATTACACTGATACAGCTGGGAGTAAAAGGATTGCTTGGAGCTGCCTGGGACTATGAGAAATGTAGTCCCCAGAGACAACTTTCTATTAAACCATGGACTACGGGACCAGCAGGACAGGGAGCTAAGAAGAGGAAAAATAGGAGAGAGTTCCTGGGCTTGAGGCAGTGGACAGAGAGGGGTGACCATTAAAGTGGACTGCTGTGTGGAAAAGCTGCGTGCTGGAGGTTTTGCCATGGTGTCTGAGATGTAGAAAGACTCCGCTGCCACATCAACGCAGAGGTCACAGCTTTGAGAGATTGCCACTGCTAGGTCCTGTGTTGCTGCTGATTTTGCCAATTCTGGGGGGGTCATTGCAGGCTCCTGAGTTGCAGTCGGCATCAGCTGTGGACAGAGAGTGGGAGGAGGTATGATTACAGATCATTTGGTGGTAAGAGGTCGCTGGCCATAACTACCTGCCTGATTCCTAAAGAGGACAGGGTCACTTATTTTAGGATACAGTTTGAGTACCTATGCCTGGTTACCTACACCAGCCCTTCCCTCTAAGATTGTAAGCTCCAAGGAGCAGGGCCCTCCTAACCCTCTTGTACTATTTATTTATGGTACTTATATAGCGCCGTCAATTTCCACAGCACTTTTACATATATATTGTACATTCACATCAGTCCCTAACCCTCAAGGGGCATACGATCTAAGGTCCCTAACTCACATTCATATACAAGGGCCAATTTATACAGGATCCAATTAACCTACCAGCATGTCTTTGGAGTGTGGGAGGAAACCGGAGTACCCGGAGGAAACCCACGCAGGCACAGGGAGAACATGCAAACTCCAGGCAGGAGGTGCCGTGGCTGGGATTCGAGCCAACGACCCTAGTACTGCCAGGCGGAAGTGCTAACTATTTAGCCACTGTGCTGCCCATTTAGCCACTGTGCTGCCCATATTAAACTGTATTGTTGCTGTATTGTCTCCCTTTATATTGAAAAGCGCTGAGCAAACTGTAGGCGCTATATAAATTCTGTGTTCTAATAATAATATTATTAATAATAATAATAATAATAATAATAACTAGAAAAGCTACAATTTCTGGGGAAATTGTGTGAAGTGTTCTTGCCTCCACCAGTAGTCTACAACTGGAGTGGGCGGAGTACCTGGGTGGAGTGGCTTGAGTAACTGTTGTGTGGTTGGAGTGGCTGGAGTAACTGTGAAAAGGTTGGACTGGGCAGAGGAACTTTATGGAGTGGGCAGAGTAACTGTGTGGAGTGTTTGGAGTGAGTAAAGATAGTAAACATTACACTAACCAATTGATTGATCAAATTTAAAAAGTGCACATGGCAAGCTTGATAGAGTGAGAAATGCATTTCAACTTTTAATTATTTATATAGCACATTTAATTGCAATGTTGTTGCCCAAAGTGCTTCACAGTAACATTAGCAGCATTATCACCTTAAATACTCTCTACCGTAGAAAACTTATTTCCAACCCTTTAACCAGAAGCCGGCCAAACTGTCACGAATTCAAAATTAGATTTCTAATAGGGCAGAGAAGAGCGGTTAAAAACAAACTGCTCCAAATTGCTCACTTCACTGGCATCTTCAAATGGTCGTAGTTTTAAAAACTATAAATCCTTCAGCGAAGAGCTTTATATTGTGAGAATCACAAGACCCAGACCTACATTTTGATGCATAGTATGTCTCTGAAATATTAAAAATGAAGGCACAGTCACAGTTTAGAAATTGCCCTTCAAATTTGAGGTGGCTAGAGTGGAGTTTCAATGAATGTCAATGGGCGGCGTGAGTTGCAAACAAATGGTCATTTGGCTTAGCCGTGGACATTTTTAGTGGCAGCAGGGATAGCTGAACGTTTTGATATAAGAATTGTGTAGGTGGGCTTGAAAATGAGGGAGTGATGGCAGTTTAGAAATCATGTCCTGATTTTTCAGCTCACACTCTAGCTTTTGTCAGCTCCCACTCTAGTTTTGAACATTCCGCCATTCATTCCTATGGGACGAATTTCACCACAAAAACTGTGGGAGGAGTTAGGGTGGTAAATTTGGCTATAATAATAAGAATATATATGTGAGATAACAGTAAGTGGTCTTGCCATGCAAGAACAATTAAATATGGTGGTGGGTAGTATGTGCAGGAGATGAGTTCGGAGTGTATGTCAGTAGGTTGTATGTGTAGGATGGTGCCAGTAAGACAGCGAACGGTGTCAGAAGTTCTTTATTTTTATTTCTTAATTTTTTTATAATTTAATTTTGTACTATTTCTTCCATTTTTTCCAAAATACTTGGTGTCAGTAGGGCAGTGGATAGTGTCAGTAGAGCAGTGGATGATTTATTTTTTATATTTTATTTTTTACAATTTTATTTTAATGTTTTGTACAATGTATTTTTTTCACAATGCTTTGGGGGGGGGGGGGGGGCAGTGTACAGAGTCAGTAGGGCAGTGGATGGTGTCAATAGTTTTTTTGTTTTTATTATTTTCTGTTATTTTTAGAGTTTTATTTCTTTAAATACTTTTTTTTGCAGTGCTTCATCAGTAGGGCAATGGACAGTGTCAGTAGAGCAGTGGACAGTGCCAGTAGGTTTTTTTTAATGATTGTTTATTTCTATTTTACAAATGTATTTATTTTTTATTACAAGATAATGTTTTATTATTATTATTATTATTATTTTTTTTTTTTTTTTTTTCACAATGCTGTTTTGGGGGGATGGGGTTTGGGCAGTGGATCATGTCAGTAGGGCAGTGGACAATATCAGTAGAGCAGTGGATGATCTCAGTAATTTTTTTATTTTAATTTTACAATTTAAAAAAAAATTAAATTAACATTTTAACGTTTTATTATTTATTACAAATCTTTTTTTGTTATCAGGCTAGACTATAAGGGGACCCAAATTCATCAGCAATCCCTAAGGGGTTATACATAATATATGTCTAGTTACACACTAATTTTCTGTGTTTGGTTCCTGAACAACCTTTGTAGTGGGGCCCCCATTTCATTTCTAGGCCCAATAGCAGCCGTGTGAGCTAGTATGGCTATAGGTACACCACCGGTAAAGAGCCTGTATTTTTTTAGCCAGAGTTATTTATGTGTTACTATGGGGACAGGGAAGAAAGATTTGTTGGGGCGAGCCACTGACATTAGTATCTGATGCAGCAGGCAGTCAGTCAGTGCAGTATTGAGAATGCCTTCAGGTCAATGCAGCATTAAAAAATCCTGCCAAGCCCTTCCTTCTTTATGTGTATTTTGCTTTACAGATAGTTGAAACTATTGATAAAAGTTTACAAATCAAAAAACATTTTTTACAGTTTTTCAATAAATATATATGTAGATCTACCAGAATGTATAATATAAGATGTTATCTAAATACATTCCTTTTGTTTTTACTGTTAAAACAACTTACTAAATAAAAAATATATTACATGTATATGTTGTAGCTTTCTTAACATCTTTTTAACATTTTGAATTTGTGTAGCATTCACTTTTTTTTGTATAGATCAATGTATCTCTTTATTTAATTACTAAGGCCAAAGTACAGTGTGGACAGTGTTTGTTAGACCATTAAAATCACTTTTCTATGTGAATCTTCTGTATTTATTTATTTTTGCAAATTTTACTACCTCATTTTGTAAGATCAAAATATTTTTCAGCATATATTTTTGCTCCTGAGCCTTTTGAACCCCTATAAACAAGTTACTTGCTGAAATGAAATTTATTTTTTTTTTCTCTGGTCCTCTTTCATTTCTGCCTTGGTGCATTTCTGCTTCACTCATCCAGATAATAAGACATTAATTATTAATGACGACTAAGCAATGTCAAAAAGTGGTAAAAGTGCTGGAAATGACAGCTCTGATGTGCAGAGGTGCCCCAACCCTGCCATTTAGGATGAGACACATGCTGTGCCTAATTATTATCTGAACAGAGAAATCTGCCCGTCACCGTCCATCTTGAATATTTTTTAATTTTGATTAAGTGATTGTGGG